CTTAAAAAATGGTTTGAAAGACAACTTCAGTGATACCCATTCGGTGCTATGTTACACCGCTAACGGGTTTTTAAAACGTCTCTCTGGTCCAATTATGGATCACTTGATGGCTCTTGTGCAAAATTGATAAACCCAACCCCACTCCGAAAAAGAGGTTTCGGTGATAACAACTCGTCATGTCTCACCACAAACAGTTTCTGATGTCTCCCTGGTCCAATCATGATGGCGCTTGAGCGAGTCCGTTCTGTGTAGGTGTGTATGTTAGGCTCCACTTCAGGTCCCCAGTTCAAGCGTACTGTGTGATTGAGTGCCTAATTGCTGATTGAAATATATTGCTTCTAGAAGACAGAGAGAGCTGTCCCGGGATCTATGTTGGTAGCCTCAGTCGATGTGAACCACGCTTGCGAATTATCTAGATTGGCGGATTAACCAATCTGGTACAAGCACAAGTGTTCACGTATGTTTCAATCAATGCTGCAAATTTCTTTACATCAATGTCTTCAATCAATCAATCAACCTGCAGTGAATTAGCATAGTGATACTGACGCTGCTGAAGATACCCAGACCAAGTATAGGTGTTTTGCAACAGTCCTAGAGCTAATATCATTGAAATGCACGTTACGTTCACTATCAGCAGTAGCCTGGGTACCATCCTACTTGTATGCCGGGGCTCCCACACTCGCTTCCCTAGATTACTTAGTTGCAAGTTGGAACATTTTCCTCCGCATTTTCATTTTCTACTTTAGCTATACACCAATATCATTTCAGCTCTAGTCCTGCACTTGATACTCTGGGCAATATTTTTGTCAATATCTGAGACCAAAGTACTAGGTACCAGTAATCAAACTGCTGACTTCAAAACCTGGCCCGACCGGGATACGTCCAAGGGATCGCTCAAGGGAGTTGAACCAGTCTTCCATACACTACAGGGGCTGGGGCTCACCAGGACTGACTGGAGTGGAGAGTCTGCGCTGGTAGCAGATTGCTAGTAACCTGAAGGGACCGGCTGTGCATGTCTGCAGTCGCCATGCATCAGTTCCTGGGGCCTGCAGACGATTGTTTGAAAATATACATTTCCTTTTCCACAAAAAGACCGATTAAAAAAAAAAACAAGTAAAGGTTCGTTATAATTGGCGCTGAAAATGACATTTTTGCCCTATATGTCTTCACTCTACTGTTCTTATGTCATTCCTTCTCCCAGTCTCTTGGACTCACTAGTGCCACCTAGCAACAGGTTCAGAAAATGCAGGTAAAAGGCCTCCAAAATAAAATAGATGGTCTGTATCTGTACACAGCTGCAGCAAACGTTTCAGAACAATTAAAACCAAGAAAACACACAAGAACCAACATGTGCAATTATCAAGTATCATCTCTATTCACTTGTTTGCTTGCAAAATCACTTTTTTGATTACACTGTTTCTTTTTCTTTTTTTGTGTCTTTTCTTGTTATCCAAAAAAACCAAAACAAAAAATGAACAAAACATTGGAATGTTACAAACAGCAACAAACAAAGAGGACAAATCATCATACAAAAAATATCGATACCCACGGGACATAAGACGTATCCTTAACTTAGCATAGGGACCCACCCCGTGTTTTCAGTCAATGTAACCAAAAAGGGGCCTGAGACACATAACAATGACCTTCAGACAGCAGTCCTCCATACTCTTTTAACAAATATGAATGTGTTCATTTAGAAATAAAAAGTGTCAATCGTGTATAACATGAAGGACTGCTGCCCAAAGTTAAACTCTTCAATACCTAGCAATTTGTTAAGTCTTAATGCAATGGAATTCTTGAACAGATTTTAAGTACTTGTGTGATGTCTATCAACCATCCTTATAGTTAGACTGAACTCAAATATCGGTAGCCCAAATTTGGGATTCAGCAAAAAGCAGGCCGAGGTAGATAGGACACCAAATGAGTTAGGCTGAACAGTCATCTGTCTTCACATTAACATTTACGTGATAAAAAAGTGTACATGTGTGCCCCCATAGAGTCAGCAGTCCCCTTCTTGAGGATTACACTGACTGTTGCAGAAGTTAGATAGAGTTGAAGTAATGTTTCCATAAAGCCAGCCAAGAGAAACAAGTACAGAAGAAGGTGTACTCGTTTCCCAACACAAAATGTACATAATCCACAGAGACTTTTGGGACAACCCACTCTTTATACAAAATGTACATGTTCTGTCTAGGTGGGTATCTAGCACAGATGATGATATGTCATAAAAACACTAATTTAGCACTAGGGCTCTTCATTGAGAGAACCATACAGGCTGAGAGCCTTCGGTATAAAATCTATCCAGACTGGCTTACTAAGGTAACTGTAAAATGATTCTAGGTTTAGGTTTCTGATTGCTTAAAAGTCCCTTGGTGTCATGTAGATGAGATGGAATAAAGATTTTTCTTTCAATAAACTCACAACTGGAGTGTCCAGTTGAGAGGGTTTAGTTTCCAGAATTTGACCATACCATGCTAGCCAAAAGTACTTCTTTACGATAACTATCAACAGCAAAACTTTTCTAAAATTTTTGGATGTATCTTGAATTCTGGGACGTGTGGGTGTTTGATTGATTCTCATAGATTTTGCAGAAAAAGTCTCCTATTGTATTAAGTTACACTATCAAAGCAATATTCCAACTCGTCTATTTTTGTGACAACAGGCAGGGGTAACTAGTGTTACAGTAATGTCTCTGTCAGACCAGACCCCCCAATGTTAAATCAAGTGGTCCAGTTTCTTAAGAACCATTCAGGCAGCATGGACCACTGGACTGTACAATGGGGGTGTGGAGGTCTGGAGGGACCACAGTTAAGGGCGGGTTTATTTCCTCTTCTTCGTGTCCTTGGCAGGGTTGCTGGGAGTGGCGACTGGTGCGTACTTGGATGCTGAGACCTTGTTTACGTAGTAAAGGGCCACCATGGAGAAGATGAAACTAGAGTGGAGAGAAAAGTACCCTTTGTTTTAATCCTGAAGCAGCATTGATTTCTTGACACTGTGCAATGTACATGTAGACTATGTATGTAAAGCTACAATGTCTCAAATGTTTAACAGTCTACAGGATACTACATGTACAGTATTTCAAAAGAATGTCTCAACAGCATTTACAAAAATCAAGTTTTCTGGTGCACAGAGTTTCCAAGCAAAGACTCACCATGTTGTGACACAGACTCGGTGTACAAGTCCTGAAGCAAACATGGCTACAGCTAGAGCAAACAGAACTGAAAAACAAAATGTTCATCTTGTTAGGATACTGGTACATCATGTTTTATCATAAATAATAACTACATTTTTGTACTTTGACCAGGACACTGTGAATACTGTGATGATTACTTGTATCATAAATGATCCTTTGGTCTTTTCTGGCAAATGTTGATACCATTCAATTACTCTCTGAGTCTCATGTGACAAATCAATCTTTTTTTTATTCTAGGACTACAGTACTTGTTTTCCTCTCATCTCAACTTTACCTCCACAATTATGCATGGCTAT